CTCAGTTCACTCACACAAAACATGAGGACTGACCTCACAGATTGCTATGAGTTAATCTATTAAGGTATTTCAAACTGTGTTTGCCATATGGCAGGAAATATTATTATTATTGTTAATAAAAATATATCTTAAAACATATTAGTAAGTGAAAAACTTGAGGACGAGAACATGGTCTGTAGTTCAGTTGATTATAATCCCTTGCCCTGTTCCGAAGATATAAATTCAAGGGAAAATTCGTTCACTCTCCGAAATGCCCTGGATTGGGCAATCAATTTTCGGGTCCCTTTGTCTGTAGCACCATGAATTATGGTATGTAGAATAAAGCAAATACACACACAAATGGAAGTATATATTCTATAAGGTCACATGCAAATTCAAAGGTAGGTCAAATAATAGAGTGGTTATCTGTGAGGAGAAGCGGACGTGAACAAAGGGACATACACAGAGACAGGTACACAGACACCTGCAGAAAGGGGCATGTCATGGACTAATGACGCTAGTGGGCCATGAGGAAAATCGAGAATTCTTACGATGTGCATCTGTATTCAGAATGGGTTGAGGCTTGCCCTTGTAGAAAGGCTGTTGCCATAACAATAGCAAATAAATCATTATAAAAGGTGCTTCCTTTCTCGGGCGTCCCTGTGGAAATCTCTAGCCATAGGAGAACTCACTTTACTGGACAGGTTATCAAAGAGGTAAGTAAGATTTTACAAATCCAGTAGCAGGACCATTGCCCTCATCATCCTCAGTCCTCTATAAAGGTTGAAGGAACAAATGGCATCTTGAAGCTAAAATTAGCTAAACTAATGGAGTGGACTGAATTACTTTAACTTGGATTTTACCACTGGCCTTAATGACAATTAGATCAACCCCTGTGGGAAAACACAAAGTGAGGTAAGTGCGGGAAGACCTGTGCCTTTGATGATCGAGTGCCCTGTGTCCCCTGCACTTTTTAGCTCTGCCGTCACTCAGTACTGTAACGCCTGGATGCATTCTGCCAAAATATGTTTCCACGAGGTGAGGGTGGTTTTCCGTGAACCGCCTTGTGATAACGATCCGACCTCATGACCAAGAACCTGGAGATTGGGGCTTCAGGAAATGACACCAGGGAAAACTGCCCTCGATGTCTTCAGAAAGGGCCATGCCAGGCCATTGCAACTTAAGGATTTCCGAGGGAAGGCTTGCCATAGATGCAGAGGTCATCTCGAAGTAGACGGCCTTCTCTAGATGACGGAATGAGACTCCATTTATCCTCCTCTCATTGACTAAGACTTGTTTTTGTTTTGCATCAGCACAAAATGTTCAAACTCCTATTTCATTTTGTTAGAAACTCTCACATCTCAAACTGGACATTTTCTAAGGGCTACTATTCAAAGTATAGCCACTCTCCCTAACCAAAGCAACTGCTGACTAGTCATTTAGATGAGTGGGAAGGATCAGGACTAGTCGTAGAACCTGCTCCCACGCATGCGTAGGTGAGCAAAGGAGGAAGCGGACTTTATAAAAGGTTGTGTATCCTTCCCTGGCGAGTCGACTGATATTTATACTCGAATGATTTGGAACTGAGAAGAAGACATGGAAGCAAAGGGATGGCCTATAACTACTATTGATTTCCTTCCTAGTAATTTATCTCTCTCTATGGAAAACATTAGTGTGGCTACACCTAACCTAGGCAGTGTTCCCGACTCTCTCTGTAATCACACTCTGGTTTGATACACTTTATGGAGACTGGAATCCTATATATATTTAATGACATAGATGTAAAACAGAACATGACCGTGTTACCCTTTACCATATAATCAGAGAACTTACTTTAAGTAGACATTGTCCGATGAAAACTCTGGAGCAAATGAAATGCCTCCATTGTTCTACGATCTGAAATAATAATAGTTCTGTTTAGTGGAAGCATTAACACTCAGGGTATGTTTGGAGATGAACCCAATCATCCTCGAATGGAGCTGGAATGCACGGGTGACTTTATCAAATGCATAGAAATATGTTTCTTCCTGTCCTGATTTTAAACCATCACCACGCAACCTGGCAATGCGCAGAGACAGATATGACCAAGAATAACATGACATTCATATCACCCCCAACAAGTACGTAATGGGATCCATTTTGACCTTCTCTCAGTAAAACTGGGTTTTTCCTCCTCTGTGTCAACAAAATATATTGTATACACACAAAGAGACTCTCTAAAAAATAATATTATGAAATGAGCAAAGCAATGAGAATAAATGTGGGCATATTCAGGGATATAAATGAAGACAAGAGTTTTGAAAGAAAAATCAGGAGGATTTCATGAGTCATTTGGAAAGAGTCTTCCTTGGCTACAAGGATCGCTAGCAAGGGCACATCAACCCAGCGCTGGACAGATCACCCTCCACCACCTAGAAACCCCAGTATATTAATATTTGCCACGTCTTGGTTCATTCTCAGGGTCATGCCCAGGTAAGAACACCCAGCCCCACCCTGCCCGGCCCCACCCTGACATCTCATTGTCATTTTTGCTTGATTTTCTGCAGAGAAGACTTGACCTAAGGTTTAAATTAATCCCACCCTCGGTGGTCCCTTTCTTCCACTTGAATGGAGATATCATCGGCTACTGCACCTAGGTGAGCACTGGATACACAGAGATGTCTATTCCTTCTTCTTGAGGGATGACACCACTGTCTTCTTAAAGCTGTTTTAACTCTGAAACAATTTGATAATTTCGACGTGGCAAAAATCTCACAACAACAATACTTCCAGGTTTTGTTTTTTTCTGTTTAATGTCAGGAATCGATTAGATTCTTCTTCACAATCAGGACTGTGAAGGTCACATCTTAGTCAAAATCCATGTGTTTGGGTCGGGTGCGGAGGCTCACACCCATA